CAAAAAAAAATTAAAAAATTTATACTTACAGCAGCACATTTTTTAGTATTCAATACATTCATATTTTGAAGCTGAAAGTAGTGTCAAAGGCTAACTTCTTTTGACTTCAGGGACATGATTAATTTGTCAAAACTTAGAATTCTTGATACAGCAAATTCTGCTATCTGATCGACAATCATGATTTTTGATATGATTATTGCCTTTCCTCATATTGACTAGGCAGTTACCGAATATAGTTATGTTTTTTAATCGTAATCCTCAGTTGGATCTGATTACTTTATGGTGACACTCCGGATGGGATTTAAAGATCGCTCTCATTTCTTATAATGTGCAAATGAAGTTTTTACTGCAGCAGATCATAAATTCAAAAAAAAAAAAAAAAAAAATCGGAATTTTTCTGTTTTGTTTTCCAATACTCTCGAATTTTTTCTATCGCTGCTCGATGCGACAGCTAGACATTATTCAATTTAAATCTGATTTCTGAAGAGTCTGTGATATTTGTTGTGATAAAAGACTGCTATATGAAAAAATGGACTATGAAACTTCAGGTTTCTCGAGACTTTTTATATATGCAGAAGCAACAAACAAGTGTATCGCTGTATTGGGTTTCCCCGAAAACTGCGAAAATATTCAGAAGATATCCAAACAAAACTGTTAAAGTTGTTTACAGGGTTTTCGGTCTCAGTCTGGAGACGTGTTGAACACATTCAAAATTTCAGCATACTTTTTGATCTTAATTTTACAGCACTTAAATAATTTTGCAGAAAAATTCACAAATGTACGATATGTTTTTCTGCTATTTGGTAGCAAGAACTATCTTTTTTTCATTTTGTAATTTTTTGAAAGTTTATCAGCAAACGGAATTTTGAGGAAATCTACTCACCGGTTGTGGCGTTCCATGACGGCGCGCCGTACAGTCGTCGAATAGTGCAGACGCTCATTAGAACGCAATGCTTTTTTGAGCATTTGAAATGTTCGTTTAAACTTTATTTAAATAATTTGCACAAATGATAATTGAGAATTAAAAACCAAGAAGATTTTCTCACGTTATTGATAAAAGAGAATAAAAAACATGTAATTTTTTAAGTTTGTTCTCAGCACTCTAGATATTGTTTAAATGAAAAAAGAGAAAAAGCAATAAAAAAACATGTAGCAAAGGAAAATTTTGCATTATCGTCGACCAGGACAACTCTTTCCTTTTCAAAACTTATGCTGTGGCTGTTTTCTTTTATAACAATTTCCGTTTACTTTAGTTTGTTCAAATTTTTTCTGTGCTTTTTAAACAACATCTACCGCTTGATTGTTGTAAAACAGTTTATTCAAATAGTTTCTTTCTTCGTTCGGGGAATGTAACAGAAAGAAAACAGATAATGAAGAAGCAAAGCTAATAATCGTTTAAGATTTATGAAACTGATTTAATACGCAACAGATGTGTTTAAAATAGTTTAGATTACTCTCTTTGAATTTTAAACATTTATTTGAAAAAAAAAAAACAGAAGAAGAGAGAGGAAAGAGAGAAAAAAAGAAATGAAAAAATTGTTTTTTTTTTCTTCATACGATAACAGCTGTATGCATTAAATATTCTTATAAGGCAAAATTATTACGACCTTTAAGGCATTAAAGTTGTCTACAGCGATTGCTTTTTTCTTTATCGTTGTTAAGTCTTTTATTAAACCAAAAAAAAAAAAACATCTTCCCCTCTAACAAATAGTCAGATGAATTTTGGCGTCTGTCGAGCAAACAGCTTTCTGTCATTCAAAAAACAAAAACTTGAAAAAGAAAATTTTTTAAGTATAAAAAAATAATTGAAAAAAAAAAGTAGTAAAAATTCAAACAAAATGTAGGAGGAAAGAAGATGACGTAAGACTAGGCGTGTCTAGTGATTTGGCAAGTTCAGCTTCAAACTTGCAGTATATTAGATGCACAAAGGTTAGAAAGATCAGAAGTTATAAACTTGAAGACTTGAAGAGATGCAAGAGAAGAAGAGACAGGTTTTCCAATTTCTATAAAAGTTTTTTTTGATAATATCTACTGTTTATTCTTCGTTTTGGTCTTCCTAGCAGTCACTATTGCTATCCAACGGTAATAAATTTGATATGTTTATGTTTTTTACTATTGTATAACCTTTTCCGGTCCTGTTATACGTATGTTGTTTTAAAGCGCTGTTCGTTCAATGTCTGCACCTATGATATCATTCACATTTCTGCTGTATGGCTACAATTTCTTCTGATGCAGAACTGGCAACAGATACAGTTGTTGCCTGAACAATTGTTATGATCTTCTATTGTTTCAGCAGTATATAGTTGAAATATTACTGTGATATCAACAAAATAATTGCAAAGATGCTCAGTGAAATAGCAGTAATGGTAAAACTGGTTGATGTGTCGTTCTTTTACATGTCATTTAATCCACCTCCGTTTTACTCTCCTCTCCAACTCACTTTAATGAATGCACCAAATGTTCAATACAACAAAAATTTTTTTTTACTTTGTTCGTTGAAGAATATTAGTGATTTCAATTCGTAAAAGAAACTTTTAAAAAACTTTTACAAAACTTTATAAATGGTGAAAGGAAAAGAAGTTTTAACAATAAAAAAAAAAAAAAA